AGTGTTGTAAGTCTACAGACATATTACTGTGCTATTGGGAGGCTGGTTTATCCACGTTTGTTTGTTTGTAATTGAGCACAAAGCTACACAATGGGCTATCTGTGCTCTGCCCACCACGAGTATCGAAACCCGGACTCTAGCGTTGTAAGTCTGCAGACATACCGCTGTGCCATTGGGAGGCTGGTTTATCCATAAATTATTATTATAACAACCTATAATTTCAAGACAATGATTCTGAAGATCAGTCCCATCTTCTTACACTTCAACACTTACCTCAGTAGTAGATGGACAGGAACATAGAGGTTTATTTTTTGGCTGTGGAACATGTTCCATTCCTTGCACTATTTTAGGAGGTTTAGTAAGACGTTTGGCATATTCCTAGCAAAAATACATCTTTAAGTATTTTTATTTCCAAAATGTGAAAATAATGCTATTCACCATAGATGGCATACAACTAGAACAAACATCTACAAGAAAGGAAGCATTTGTTTTCTCAGTTTTCATACAACAGTGCTACAATAGAAAACATTTGTAAAAAAAATTACTTAATCATATAACATTAGTAAAAAAACTTAGCATTGGAAACTGTGAAGACAAATCAAAAAGTGACAGAGCTTATTATACCAAACACTTTTTTATTTTAGTAAAACATCCTTGACATCCTCTTATATACTACGACAGAATCAAAGATACCAAATGATTTAACCCTAAAGATCTTTTACAGCTAACTATAACAGTTAAACTTCCTTTTTTGTGTATCTCAGTTTAACCAATTAGTTAATTACAGCCAGCTATTTATGATAATAATTAATAATTGTAGCATTCATACATCATTGTAAAAAAGTTAACATTTTCTAAAAAGTATTTGTTTCTGGGAAGTACTGCACGTGAAAAGTGTTTGTTTCTGGGAGGTACTGGATGTGAAAAGTATGTGTTTCTGGGAAGAACTGCACGTGAAAAGTATGTGTTTCTGGGAAGTACTGCACGTGAAAAGTATGTGTTTCTGGGAAGTACTGCACGTGAAAAGTATG